CACATAGAAGCAAGGTGAGCTCAGGCAGGATTCCTTACCTATATGAGCCTCAGTTTCCTCATCTGTAAAATGGAAATAACAGGAGATGCTATCTCCTGGGTTAGAGTGAGGATTAAAAGGAAAATAAGGGCCTCCCCGGTGGCACAGTGGTTGAGCGCTGGATTGTGAAGCTGCCCGCAGGCTCTGCAGCGCCGGTTCGATCCCCGGCTGCTCCTCGGCCACCAGAGGAGGGTCCCACATGGCGCGCAGACCTTTCCTGCTGCCCGCTGCTCCCCTCAGCAGTGTACTTCGGTCCTTCTGCCTGTTCTGCTCTCCGTTCTGGCTCTGGTGAATTCTCTCACCCTCCTGTGCTTCTGACTGTACCCAGTGCTTGTATAAATAAATAAAAAAAAAAAGGAAAATAAAAACGAAGTGCTTAGCACAGTGTTAGCTTGTATAAACTCTCCACAAATTATAAAATAATCAAATGTTAGAATATGTCCCCTGGGAGTACATATCTGCTTCCAAGTGGAAGTGCCCACTCATTTAAAGAGATGAAGAAACTAAGGATGAAAGTTAAGTGATGTGTTTAGTCTCCAGCTGGATAGAGGTTGCACCAGGACCATAAAGAAAATAGCCTACACTTTCCCATATCTGCCTGAAGTCTCTGAGCTGAGCTATCAAGAGGCCAGACTTTGATGGAAAGACTGTAAAAAGAGAAAAGAAGAGGACTGAGAATTTAATTTTGGAGAACAAATACAGTTAGAAATTGGGAAGAGTTAGGATTGAATAATGGGTACTCAGGAGAAAAACTGTTGCAGAAAGCAAGGCAGCAGGTCTTTTCCAAAAGCATAAAGGGCAGGAGGGGGTCCCCAGTACCAAAAACCACATCAAAAGAAAGGACTTGAACTTCGAAAATAGAAAGGAACTTCGTTTATTAACAAATATTGAAGTCAGGTACATATATGAGGCACATCCTTGCTTTAGGAATATGTAGGTGAAGTCCTTGCTCTTTTAGAGCTTACACTCTAACAAGAAGAAGAAATACTATAAAAGCAAACTAATAAATTCAAAATATAATTTCAGATAATGTATGTAAATTCTTTATTTTAAAGATTTATTTATTTATGCATATAAGAACTGGGGTACAGGCCAGATGTGCAGGGGGTGAGAAGATTCACCAGAGACAGAGTGGGGAGCAGAACAGGCAGATCTACTGAAATACACTGCTGAGGGGAGCAGCGGGCGAGACAGGAGAGGTCTGCTGTGCCATGTGGGTAGCTCCCTGGCCGGGGATCAAACTCGTGCTGCTGTGTCCCAAGAGCTTCATTGTGCTGAGACTTAACACCCTGTGCCAGTAGGAAGGTCCTAATGTAAGTTCTGAGAAGATAAAATAAGGATATTGTAATAGGAAGTGATGAGGGAGGTAGGTGAGTAACTGAAACTACTGCGGTTAAGAAAGGTGACTTTTTTTTTTTTTTTTTTTTTTTTATAAATTTTATTGTTATATTCCCCATACAATTGCAGCCCCCCATTCTGACCCCAATCCCTCCCCTCCCGCCCCCGCCCGCCTAAAAGTGTCTCTGGTTCATAGTTTTTTGTTGATTTTGATTTTCACTAAGAAAGGTGACTTTTTAACTGAGACCTGCATGACTAAAGGAAGCCAGCCACATGAACATCAAAAGTGCATTTTAGGGAAAAGGAACAGTTAAGACAAGTCTCTGAAATAGAGATGATTTTGACTATGACCTTCAAGAGCGTATTGGTGGACTCATTCACCACGCTGGTTTTGAGAAGAAAAGAGTATTCCTGCCATCATAGCAGACAGCGAGCACCACCAACTATTCCTATTTGGGGACCTTTTGTTTTCCTTTCATTTCCGTGATCTCACCTCAGTGACAACCTTCTCAAGAGAAAGCTATAAACTTATAACATTCATATTAGTGACTATAGGGTATTTGTGGTGTTGGAGATAAAATTAATCAAATCCTCCCACCGCATGTCTTTGCTGACAGCACCAAACTTGTTTGCACTAGTAGATACTGTCACCTTTCCAGCAAACAGAGATGTTTGCTTTGGATTTTTCAATTTCTGTGTATGTTCTCTACAATTCAGGGTCACCTGTGGCTTCCAAGTTTCGCTGGATCTTATTTTACTCATTACTCTCATTACTCTTTTTTTCTTATTTTACGTTCTTATTTTACTCATTACAATTCCTGCCCTTATCCTTCCAGGTCACATTCTAGAGCAGTGCTGTTCAATAGAACTTTTTTTGATTTTGGAAGCGTTATATTTCCCCACTCTCCAATATAGTAACCACTAGCCATAGTGAATGGCCATTAGTAAACCACTATTCTGCGCTTGGGGTGTGAAGAGTGTGAATAAATTTCTAATTTATATCATTTTAATTAATTTAAACTAAGTAGTTACAGATGGGTAGTGCTTATTGTTTTGGACAGATAGTTCTAAAGAATTAAATTTCAGAAAGAGCCACAGATCCTGAAAAGGAGACATTCTGCAAGTTCTTTGTGATTACTGAGAAATGCATCAATGCAAATAAATAATGTCCAGGATTATTAATGACATTATCATTTCCTTAAGTGTGTTCTAAAGGGTTCCAGTTTCCTGAAGTTTTCCCTGATGGAGAGGGGTCATTGTCAAATGAGTTTGGGAAATTGGAAGAACTTTCCCTTCTCTCATAGATTCGCAATGTATGTTTTCATCATCAGGGCTCAGAAATTCTACAGTAAACAGCTTTGTAAATAATTGTTTAACTTAGTATCTCTCCAATGCATTTTACCGTGTGTGTGTATGTGTGTGTGTGTGTGTGTGTGTGTGTGAAATATTAGCATGTTGAGGAACTAGAAAAATTCAGATTAAGAGTATAGACCTAGGCCTCCCCGGTGGCACAGCAGGTTGAGCACCGCACCATGAAGCTGTTCTGCATCCTCTGCAGCACCAGTTTGATTCCTGGCAGGCCAGGGAGAAACCCACATGGCGCAGCAGACCTCTCCTGTCTCGCCCTCAGCAGTGTCTTCGATCTGCCTGCTCTGCTCCCCACTCTGTCTCTGGTGAATTCTCTCACCCTCCCATGCCTCCAACCTGTACCCTGGTTCTTGTATAAATAAAAATAAATCTTAAAAAAAAAAGAGTATAGACCTCTGGGAAAAAAAGACCTGGATGAAAAATGGCAATTCTATTCTTTATAATCAGCTGAACTATGTAATCCTGAAAAAATCATTTAACCTTTCTGAGCTTCATTCTCTCATTTGAAAATTAGGGATAATATTTATATATCACAGGCTTATGTAAGGATTAGATATAAAAATGTTTGTAAAGTAAATAACACAGTTCCTGGAACCAAGTAGATATTCCCCCAAAGAGTTAGCTATTATTATTTTTATTATTATCTATCAAGTTAAGTGACAGAATGACAGATTTTCTGGGTCCCAGGAGAAATATATTATGAACTGGCAGCATTCACTTACTGCCTTACAACATTTTTAAGTATTGTGTTGGAAACCTGGCTGTGAGAGTGATATTTTCTACCTCCCTTCACGCATCCTCCACTAGAATGCATCCTCGGCACAGAATGCTTTGTAGTTCCTTCTCAACGCAACAACCAGAGGCGTCCTTCTAAAGTAGTCATTGGAGATAGGACTCCTGTAAGGTTCCCCAGCTCACTCAAAAGAAAAGCTAGAGACTTTGTGATGCTTTGCAAGTTCTGTGTGATCTGACTTGCCAGCCCCTTTCATATCATTTTCTAATACTGTGTATTCTCCTTTACTTCTATTCTTTGGACATACAAGGAATACATCACCACAGGGTCTTTGCACCTGCTGGTCCCTCTGGTAAGGTATCACTCACTGCCACAGCTATCTGCATGACTCCTTCACTTACATTCTTTAGGTCTTTTCTAAAATGCTTCTTTGATTCTTTTGCTTAAACTGGTAAAATACACCCTGTGCACTCCATGCTCTGCACTACACTTCCATGCTCTGTATTTACTTGCTACACATTTAATGGGCTGTGGTTATTTGTTAAAGTTTTGTATCTTTTCTGCCTCCACCCCCAATAATAAAATCTTCATGAAAGCATTTTTTTTTGTCTTTTTCATTCTCTGCCTTCTCTCAGTGCCTACATTAGTAGTGGATGCTCAAAAAAATGCTGAGTTTCATTGGTTTTGTTGCTACAGACTAAGTGTATTTCCTCTAAGCCCAGTTTTGGATGGTTTGTTGAGGCATGAAACACACAATGACTGGTCTCTGTGGTTTTTATTAGTATTTCTGGGACCCATCAAACAAAAATCCATCCATTGAAAAATAGAATTTTTTTCATAAAACAAATACTCAGTTAGAATTTAACAGTTTAAAGGGCAAGATTCTGATTTTTTTTAAAAAAGTGGCAATAGGGTTGTTTCAACAAATTGTCAACCAAGAAGCCCAAGAAAAGTAAGAATATGCAGATAGCAATGGAATGATTAATCTGTATTTGGCCAAACTTGTGAAGACAGACACATTTCAGTGGCTCATAAGGCACAGTCTCAACATGTTTTTATTAAATTCTCTATCTCTTAGTCCAGAAATAAAATTCTGAGAGCCAATAATGAGGATAAATCAGCCCTGCTATTGTGATTTCTGTACTATTCATTCACATGGTTAAAAATCCATCCAATAGTTCATATGTAGTATCTATTATATCCCACATAATTAGATAAGCTACCCACATATATGGTTCCACAGTGTGCATATAGTAGGCACTCAATGAATGCTTTTTTTAACTATAGAAGAAGAATATAATTGCCTTTCCCTCTTACTATTTTAACTTTTCCTATATTTCATACATTTGCAAAACAACATGCTTGCAAAACTAAAATCTAACATGCACGACTAGCCTTATCAAAAGATCCCAGTATTTTTCAAAAAGGAAAAAATATATATATATTTTATATATATATTTATATATAAACCAAACCCAAAATACTAAAACTTAGAACTGCTTTACACTTAAATAGCAATTTACATCACATAAACACATTCATAATCTTCATTGGTTAAAAAAGATCAAAGGTTCGTTACTGGCTTCTTATACCAGATAAGTCTCACAGTTCCTAATAAGGCAGCAGAATTCTCATCTAACATATACTGACTTACAGAACCAAACAGCCTGTTTTGGTTTCATTTCAGCGCAGGTAGGAAGGCAAAGTAGTCTCACAGTAAAATGTTCATGTAATAGATAATATGTTCTTGAAGTTTTGGCTGTTGTGTTCTTATTCTGGTGAGGAAATGGTTTGCAACCTGATTATAGATATGGCTTCCCAATTGGGAGGAGTCTTCCAAAAGACATTCACTCTCACTCAACAAATATTGAGGACCTATTTCATGCCAGATACTGGGAAAACAATATGAACAAGATATAGCCCCTGCTATCAAAGAGTTTCTGGTCTAGCAAGGCAAGAACTTTGAGGAAGGACCAGCAGGTTCAAAGGACAGTTCATAATCGGGGCCTGCCCTGATCAGAAGGCAAGTTTCATAAAGGTAAACGTATGTCCCTCGAAGTCAGGCCCATGCTCAGGTTTCATCAAGTTAAATATCTAGGAGCCTTAAATGGTCTGAGTCTACTAAATTCTTAGCAATGCATAGCTTGTCTCCTGAGCCCATGAAAACCACAAATAAGAAGCCAAACCTTTAGCTTAAGGAGGAGGGCTCAAAGAGACCAGGTGAAGTGGCCACGTATGCATTTGGCAGAGACCAACTTCTCAAGTGAAAAGTTGGGTGTCCTCTGAAGAAGAGGGGCTTCATCTCATGCTGGCTTGCCTCTGGAATTTTCTCTCCCTTTCAACACTGTAGTGGGAAATATTCTGTTCACACCCCAAGTTGGCAAGCCTCAGTTACCTGTAGTTCTCCAAGTCACGAACAGCACACACAAAAATGCATCAAACTCAAGCCAAGACAATAGAAAGATATGCTGAGAACTTAATACTCCAGCCCTATTTAAGCAGGAACTGAGTGCCAAGAAACTGTCACTTTCAACAAATAACACAATCTTCTAATTATCTGTTGAACTGTTCCAGTTGGTACTCCCTAGACCCACATACTACTTGGCAGGGGTGATTGTTCAGGGAAGAGAGTATAGAAAGAGCCGAGGCCAGTTGGGAGGAATGTGAGAAACTTATAGGTTTGGGGAACTCAAAGGAGAAGCTGGCCAACTCAGAAGATGAATAGGCAAAGCCAGAGAAGGAATAGCAGAGTGAATTAGCAGATGTCAAGGTAACTTCACATAATTCAGACACACAAACATTCATGTGTTTACCCCAATTCAATTAGCTGAGTGTTAAATTTGCTTTGTGTGGAGTATCATCAAATGCTGGGAAGGCCCTGGAGTTCTTTGACTTTGCTTGGATTGCAAGGTGTGTCTTTTATGCAGGAATAGCTCAGTTACCTAGTCAAGATCTATGTCAGTCATTGTTATTTCTCTCGGTTTCCTCAGTAACTGTTACCTGACAACGCTGAGTAACACTTCTGTGGAGGGAACCAAGCCGAACAGAACTAAAACTGGACTCGTTTGTACCTTCCAAAGGTCATTCCTCTCCCCAGGCTGGTGCTTCAAAGTTACCATCCATAATTTTTCTCTTCATAGTTAGGACAGATCCTTAATTCTTTTTACGTGTAGCCTTCTGGATATATTACAGACACTCCAAACATCTCACTATGACACGCTCAGCTTTGGTGCTAAGACACTGCAGTAGGTGTTTCTTTCTGGTACAGGTCTTTATTCCCATGTTCTTGCTCCAGATAGAAAGAGGAGAAAGACAAAGACTCGGGAGGCCAGGCAGAAGAGCTGCAAGGGAGATCTGCCCATTTCAACCCATTTTCAAAATATCTACCCACATTCCTCTGAGATAGCAGGGCCCAGGGATGAGTCTACATGCTCAGTGATGAGTCTACATGCTCCCCCAGACAAGCCATCATTGGAAAAGAGGTCTCAGCTCTTCAGTGGCAACAGCTCCTGGATTTTCTCTGTTTTGTTTTTTTTTTCCCCATTCTTCCTTTCTTCCTTTCCTTCTCTCTCTCTCTCTTCATTCCTTTCTCTCAAAAAAAACCTTCCTCTAGGCAATATACCATTCATTTTGGGATGATTTCAGATGAAACAGGGAAAAGATCCAAAGAGGAAAAATTCTAAGAATTAACATACACATTGCCACCTCACACCCCTCATTCACACACACACACACACTCAAACACACCCTCTCACATGCACACTCATCTCCCAGCACTTCCTTCTGCAATTAATGTTGACTTTCTAGCTCCAGTGAAAATATCTTCCGTCATCATTCTTGTCACATTACTGTGTTCAGATATATAACTCTGGCTGGGGTTCTAAAAAGAAATCCCGTGAGCCCATTCTCCCTTATGTTTATAAAAATGAAAAAACAGGTTGATTTTGAAGTCTTTCTTTTACTTCACTCTAGGGACTAACAGATCTTACAGCACTTTTTGTTCTGAGAATAAATCACCATCAATATCTAGATTGGCTAAATCAGTGGTTCTCAATCAAGGATAATTGTGGCCCCCAGGGGACATTTGACAATATCTGGAGACATTTCTGATTGTCACAACTTTGGGTGTGGGAGTGCTACTGGCATCTAGTGGATAGAAGTCATGGACACTGCTAAACATTCTACCATACACAGGACAGCCAAACAATGTACAACAAAGAATTAGTCACAAATGTCAACTGTGCCAATCAGGAAACCCTAAACCATAGGGATACAGAACAAATTTATCACCACCTTCTTTTCCCCACTTTTTCCAAAGCCATTGGGGCCTTCTGGACCTTCTCTTAAATAACAAATGTGAGCAGAGGTGGCAACTGAAATTTTTCACCAACAGTCCACAGGGAACGGGGAAGTAGACTTGGCATCAGGTGAATCATTCCTGAATGAATAAAAAGCACCCCACCTTTATTCTTCTCGCTGATTTGAACATTGCAAGCCATGTGATTACGCAGTGATTACAGTCCACCCTGGATTTTGAAAGTCCCCATTTTCCACTCACTGGCTCCTAGAGATCAGGGTAAAATTCCCAGCATCCTCTGGTTGCTACGGTCAGTCGAGACCCTGGAGCTGGCATCTGGCAACTGTGCTCCTCTCTCTTGATGAGGCCATGTGGATGCTGTGTGTGGAGGACACATCACCTTCTCCTAAATCACGATGCATATGAAAACATTTAATGCCCTCTGACTTTTGTTTTTTTCCTTTCTCTTAGCAAGGAGCCTAAGGCCACAGACCCTGCTCTTCTTGCAGCAGAAAAGAACTTCACAATAGAGGCAAAACAAATCACAACCACATACAGCATCATAGTTCACAGAAAACTGTGTACATTTGTTCCCCATATAGGACATACTTCAAAGTAACAAAATTTTTCAACTGTAGTGTTCCTTCTTCCTGTTAGAAGTAGATTTTTTTCCCCTCGTGGTACATAAATATCAGAGAAAAGTCGTCTTTGAAATATTTACGTCCAGGAGTTCTTGGTTTGCTGGCATTTGGGGTGAGTTGGGGCTTGTGTTCAAAGTGTTGGCAGCTTTAGTTTTCATTTTCTCTCCACCCGCGTGCATTCTTCCCAAATTTATATACTAGTCTTCGTCCATCCACACGTTCCAGAATTTCTCTTTTGTAGTAGTATCTGTAACAGAGGACATTCATGAGGGGGCTGTCAGACCATAAGGAAGGGGGATGGGGGAGGCCTTATTTTGTGTGGAGACCGGAAATGCCTCACCTCATGGCTCGGCTCAGTTTCTCATAAGTCATGCTGCTGTTGTTTTTCTTTTTCCCCCATAGCTGAGCCACGGCTTCCGATTTCAAGAACCTGAAGATGCCCTCAGACCGGTCTTCCCACTTGATTAACCCTGGATTCTTGTCTGGGTTCAAGAGGATGTCCCGGATGAATTCCCATAAGTGAGTCCCTCGGGGATCTGAGGAATCGTCAAAAAGGATTTTATTAATGGCCAAGTCACCGCAAAGCAGGGACAGAGGAGGCGTAGAAGTAGAACATTTTCTCTACCCAACAGTGATCCAGACCACAGAATTCCCAAACTGTTTGTTTGTTTTTACTTTACAATTCAAGAAACGGAGGCACAAGAATTTGACTTGACCAAATTGAACAAATTTGACAAGGGTCACACACGTAACAAGCAGCAAAACCAAACCTACGCAATAGGCCTTAGGCCTCTGATGCCAGGGGAATAACTTCTAAATACTGACAAACTGCTTACGATTTATTTCAATTTGTCACTTCGCAAAGAACAACTTTCAATCACTTTAATTTAGTATCTCAACTAATTAAATCACTCCCACTCAGCAACATATTTTAGCCAAATGTCCATCAATAGGGCTGTAACATTTTAACTCCTATAATATAGTGGGGAGGGGGGTCTCGAAGTGGTTGGGGGGCAATTAGCAACCAAATCTAATTTTACCACCACTGGACTTGTGACTGCCCCTCCCTCACTGCCCCAACCATTCAAAGGACTGCATTAACTCAGTTCTGTGGATGCAGAGGAGTAGCAAATAATAAAATGTCCAATCCCTATCATTTCTCAATTTATCATTCTTGATTTCTTTCTATGCCTGCCCCAGCTCCATGTCTCTGGTATTTCATATATTTTCATAAGGTTTTACTATTGGGGGAAATAATATTCCCTAGGAACACTGTTGAATCTTAAGAATGAACAGTCATTTTTTGGAACAATAACTCCACGTAGGTAGGAAGTCAACATTCAACAAAAGACAAAATTATATCTCAGCTGTTTCTTCCCACAGCTTTTTCTAGAGAGAGGGAAATCCCCGACCTCCTGCCTCTGAGTTTATTAACCAGGTGTCTCAGTTTTAGAGCAAACAGAATGAAAAGGAAATATTCATTAGACCTTCACATTGCAGAGGGGGTTATTTTGAGCAACTGACATCTCTATTTTCTCATCCTAGTCAATCTGAAGAGGAAAAATGAAGGCAGCAAGCAGAAGTGGTATTTTCAAAAAATTAGTAGCCTCCAGTTAGCCCAACTCGAAGGAAGGGGTCAAGAGCCTTCTCAAAGTCAATCAACTTACTGTGCTTTTTAGTGTGGGACTTTGTCGGGTGGTCCTGCTCCTTCTTCATATCAGGGGACTCTGCTAGAGAGAAAAATGAGAGGCTATTAATTTACCTCTCTCCTACAGTTATCATTTTCATTCATTTATCCACATTCAACCAACATTTATTGAGCACATGTCTGGCATTGATCAGGTCTATGGCAAACAGAGAAGCCAAGTGCTATGGAGAAAAATTTTGCAGGGGATTGAAAAATGGGGGATGAGAGAGATCTGCAATATTATATGAGGTGGTCATTGAAGATCTGTCTGATTAGGAATCAGAAGGCTATCAAGGAGCTAGCGATGTAGCAAGCTCTTGGAAAAGCCTTCCGTGAATAAGAACAGTAAATGCAAATGTCCTAAGGCATATGTGTGCGTGCTTGGCAGCCCACCATGCAAGGAAGCCAGTATGGCAGTGAGAATCAGAGGATAGGACCTGAGGTTCAGATCTTAAGGCCTCTTTGGGTGTTTTAAGCATTTGAGCTTCTATTCTGAAAGATAGAGAGTCATTGAAGGATTTAGGTCATTGAAAGGGCTTGTTTTTTTTTTTTTTTACATAATGCAAAAATGTAAACATTAATAACAAAGAATGATGGCTTTTAAGCCTGAGGAGTGCCTTTTTTTGGCATGCAAGTTACATTTTAATCAGCCTGACAAAGAGACCATTGACTGACCTGAGTCAGTATAGAGGGCCATGGTGGACTATGGAAACACAGATTAGGTTAACAAATGACTCATTATGGCAACCTTGTGACTATCACCAAAGAGATGACAGAAGCAGATCTGTGCTTCTTGTTAAAAAAGCAAATGATGAAGCAATGAAATAAAACTTTTTTTTCAAACAAACGTTCTTTAGCTTTTATTTTTTATTTTTTTATTTATGTATATTTTATATCATTGCTCATTTTTAAACAATGTTTGCTTCCCTCCCTCAGTTGTAGTTCCCATAGAATTTCCTTCACCAGTGCACCCATGCACCATCACCACCACAGTCCCCTCTGCTCCTCTCTCCCTCCCTCCAATCCCTCTCCCTCCTCCTTCCCTGCAGGATGTCTCTGGTTTATGATTGACTGTTTGGTTTTGTTCGGTTTTGTAGTATTTTGTATTGTTATTATTTTTCCCCCATGCATTGTTTGGTTCCCCTATATTCCTCCTATAAGTGAAACCATCTGATATTTTTCTTTTTCCTTCTGACTTATTTCACTGAGCATAATTCCTTCTAGCTCCATCCATGTTGCTGCAAATGGCATGAGTTTATCTTTTTTGATTGCTGAATAGTATGAAATAAAACTTCTTAAAAACAAAACTAAATGATCTAGTAAGGTGCATGTGTACATGTTTGTGTGTGAATGGGCACTTGGGGTATCGGGAGAACCAAGGCTGATCGTACCCCCAAAATATCCCACAATCAAAAATCCTCTAATTTTAACACCAAGTAGTCCCTAAACACAAGTGATTCCCGATGGGTAAGTAAGCACATCTCTTCTATGTCAGGGCTTTCTCACAAAGAGTTTATGACCTACATGGGTTCTTCAAGGACATTTTGGGCTGACCCAAAGCACGTACCAAGGGAGAGGGTCCACAGTACTTAATCTGTTGTCAAGCATTATCCATTATTCAAAAAGTTTGAGTAACCATTAATTCCTAATTAAAATGGTTAAGAAGAAAGGGCCTGTGTATTGAGCACTTACTACGTACCAGGCACTATGCTAAGCAATTTACATGAATCACCTTTTTTGATTCACACAATAATCCTTCAAGGTGGGCACTTTATGATCCACAGTTTATAGTGAGGAGCCGAGACAGAGAAGTCAAATGACTTGTCTAAAGTCACACAGCCTGTAAAGTACGCCAGGGTGTGGACACAAACAGCTTGAACCCAGAAGCTTTAATCATCATCACTATTCTATGCCGTGTCCAAAGATGGTGGCACATGATGGATTTCACAAACATCTTCCCTGCCAAGAGTCAGGTTCAGGTATAAGGTTGGTTAGTGGGAAAGTCATTCCAGTTGGATGGCTCTATTTTCCAGTGTATATGAACCCACTGTTCAATCTCATCACTCAGCTTCTCCAGAAGTTTCTTCCAAAGCCATGGCAAATGGAGAAGGGGGATTTAATAAGATCTGGTCAGAAAAGCAACCATTCATTCTCGTTGGAAGTTTCTCCCTTGGCATTGTCAGGAGGAGGGCCTGCACCTGACTTGGGTTTCTCTGAAATCTGAAAGGACAAATTCACAGGAAATGCAAGGAGACTCCACTTTCCCTCCCTTCAGGTTTCAGGGTGAGGTTGCAACATCCCATCAGGATGTGACAATATTGCGACAGGTCTGGCACCCACCCCGGTTTCCAAGTGATACATCACTCTGACAGGGCCACGTTGTTCTGCAGACAAAGAGTGGCATTTACCCAGCAGGCCACAAGCAAAGCTCATTTACCAATGGCTTCCAGGAGGGATGCAGAGCCATTATTTCAGAGCCAGGGTTGAGTTCAGAAAAACCCTCCACTGTTTGGCTCAATCATTGTTTATGGATTCTAAGCTGATTTAGAATCAAATACTTTGGGTTAATGTACCTTTGTGAATAAGAGGAAAACCTTGGGCCCTCTCCCTGGAAAAATGCACACAGGTGTACACTTGTAAGACTGTAAACAATTTCTGGGGGTTGTGACTCACTAAGGAGTACACAAACTCTAGATTAAAAAACACCTCACCAGATAGACTGTGAGTGAATTATATCTCTGAGGTGTCAATCATTTACCCCAGCTAGACCTCTTTCCAGTCAAGGAAAGACCAAACCAACAAATGTTTCCATTAAAAAAAAAAAAAACAACCTGAGATTTGTACTGGTCCCCTCTCCCTGTCCCCAGTGTTCAGGGCCAAGCTGTGGAATGAATGACTGTCTCAGCTCGAAAAGCTTTTGATCTGAAACCTCACTTTAATATGATAGCCTCTCCCCCCTCTGTCTTCTCCTCACCCCAAAATAAAAGTCAAAACCTTTGAAGTTAGCCATGTGGTTAAGTGATTCACTCTTATAAAATAATGGCTTGCTCTGGGGAAGTTGTCCAGCTTGGCTTTCTCTTGCCCTGCTCCCGAGGCACCTCAGGCCAAGCTCTGGTCTGGGCAGGGGCAACAAAAAGCCACAGGTTTATGATGCAGGTTCCAGAGTATGACTTCAGCTAAGCTGCTTCACAAGAAGCGAAGATTAGAAGCATTTGCATATGATTCAGCTGTGAGCCATTTCTTTACGGGATATACAAATTTCAGTGTTATAATAGACCGTGCCACCCTAGCTTTAGGCTCAACAAGTCAGTGAATAAACACATCAAGCCTGAGTTGGCGTGATTGGCTTGAGGACTATCGGGCAGATCAGGAACACTGGCGGCGGCCATTTTATGAAATGGGCAGATGACAGAGAAATCAAAACAAAGCCCGCTTCCCCACCTGTGTTTATCACAGAGGGCATCAGTTTATGTTGGGCCTCGCCTTGGCTCAGCTTGTAACATGCATTAAAACATAGAAAGATATTTAACTGCACTCTTTAATGGGAGCTTGAAACTTGAAGACTCAGATAAATGACCAATGACTTGGGGTGAGGGGTGGGGGGTGAGGGGGAGTTTCTGTCCCATCGAGTAGAGAATAAACTATTTTGAAAGGAGGTGACTCATAAAAGGCTTTCTTTAGCTATGCCAATGGAGCTGTTCCTGAGAAAAATTTACCAACCCCTGATACTGAATTGATTCTTTAAGCAATAATTCTGATAGAGGACCTGGGTTGCTTATCTCATTTTCCAGCCTGTGATATAATTGCAGGATAGGGACGGAGGTGGGGAAGGACAAAAACAAGGATCAAGGAAGGTGGAGGAAAGCAGATTTGTAAATCCAAAAATAATTTTAAGAAGAATTATTTAAAAACAGAACAGGCTGACTCAAGAGATGAGTCCCTTATTACTGCAAATATGAAAGCAGAAACTGGCCCCCATTGGTTCTGAGATTCTAGAAGGTTGTCAGGACACAGGATAGGGAACGGTGGCCTGGCTCTGAGGGCAGTAGAACTGGGATTATGACTTTTGGGTTTCCCAGCTGCAACAAGACCTAACAATCCCTGAGGCTCAGGAAGTGGTTGGTTCAACTTTATTCTTAGTTAGAATCTTTTGCCATAGCCAGAGAACAGGCAACACCTTAGGAAGTGTGAAAGGAAGTCATAGGGTGACAGTGGTGGTTTCCTTAGCTCTGGAACATTCGGTGATGACTAGGTAGTAATGATTGCCACAGAAATTTTATCCCAATTGGCTCAGTTCTCCCGGAATGGCAAATATATCGTGGAGCCTCTCCAGTATTTGATCTATTTCCTAATTTCAACAAATACTTAGTGTGACACATAATGCTATGGGCCTTTGGAGGTGGGGGGAAGTGCAGAAATGAATCAGTCTCAGTTCTTAACCTTAATTCCAGAAGCATTTACACTGGCTCCCAGCCATGTCTCATTCAAGGGGCTTGATCCGAAAAAAAAACCTCAAACCAAAGATTTTCATTATTTCACCTCTCAAAAACATACTTAACAAAGACAATTAAAAAAAAAAAAAAAAGACTAAGAGAGAGAAAATGGAAGAGTTGTTGTTCGACTATATGCTTTCTTTCACAGGGAACCATTTAAATCCCAGTTCTGAAGTTGTCCCAAATTCAATTCCAGGAAATGAGAAATTCTCTTGTGACAGGTGTAAGCCCCATTTTATGGACCCAAACAGATCCACAAATTTGTATCCAGATGAAGGGACAATACAAATCCTCCAACTACCTCCCCAGTGTACTCAGTCCCACATGCTTCGTGTTAATATACCTATTTATGGGGGGAGTAATGGGGCATATCACATGAAAACTCCTCTCCATAATCCCATCAGACATCCTGTGACTCAGTGTAGCCTTGGCTGAGAGTCACCGACAGCCCCCAGTCACATCCACTCTTTACCAAATGCAACTGACGTGACCCTAATTCAAAGTGCAGGTTGTCTGACAGATGGAGAGTCCTGATGAGTCATCAGGATCAGACTGAAAAACTGACAATAGAATGTGATTCCCAGGTTCTGGAAATTTCTAACTGCTTCCCCTCCACCCAAAGACCCTCTACCCATCACCATAGTTCACTGACCTCTGAAATGCCTATTGGACATTTTTTCTCTAAAACCAAATATAGTTTGTTGATAGCTTCCCTCACATTCAGGAATGAATAATCTTATCAGCTAATTTCCCAAGAGCAAGATTTTGTTGAAAAGAGAATTTTTGTTATCACAAGAGAATGACTTAATTTATATGACACAAACATTCCGCCTAGAGCCATCCTTGCCAGTCATTCTGAGTATACAACTATTGGCTCAAAAGCAGACCTTTATTAAAAACTCTGTTCCTCTGAAGGACACCAGCAAACCAACAACATAGGATGTGGGTCATTCTCGTCAATTCTCAGTGAGCACTTGCATGTGACACGCTCAATCTTGGAGGTCAGGGCAACTCACCAACTGGAAGGTGACCAGGGGTTGTCATGGAGATCTGGGCCCGGCAGAAAGTTTTGCTGTCCAACAAATCTACACAATGCAAAGGCAAAATATAGTAAAAATCCCCTCCTTACAATACAACTTCATGGCTATTAGACACAATAAGAATGTAAAAGAGCCTTAAGTGTTTGGGAGTTAGTTACCTACTGTGCTACCATAGTTGGTGTCATATAAATAGTTTTCTTCTTTCCAGGTGTTCATGATGGAAGGTTCTACAAAGGAAAGAAAATGGGAATCATCAGCCATATTTCTCCCTGGGTAAAGAGTTTGCTTTTCTAAAACAATGTTTGTCAAAAGATGGGGTAGGGGAACCTCCAAAAGAAGGAATAAAACTCTGCTTCAGCCACTTGTTACTTTATAAAGTTATTCTATTTTTCTTCCAGTGTTATGAGGAAACAGACTTTGCTATGGCCATCCATGGGTTCTGCACTTGTTGCATTTTTAGGCAAGTGAGGGCTCTATCTTCCTGGGAATTTTCTTTTTTTTTTTTAATTTTTTTAAGAATTATTCCATTATGGGCCTCCCCTGGTGGCGCAGCGGTTGAGCGCTGGGCTGCGAGGCTGCCTGCAGCCTCTGCGGCGCAGGTTCGTTCCCCGGCCACCGATGAGGGTCCCACCAAAAAAAAAAAAAAAAAAAGAAAAGAAAAAGAATTATTCCATTATTGTAAGATTTTTTAATTATTTATTATTTATTTTATATAATTTTACATCCTTTTTCATTTTTGCACAATGTATGCATTTTCATCTTGGTTATAGTCCCCGTGAAATTCCCACCCCCCCATTCACCCATGACCTATCACCAGGGTCCCCGGGGAATTTTCTATCCATACTTGGCACAGGGTGAGTTCAGGAATTTGGCATTGTCTTGCATTCTACTGTAAAATCAGTTTAGTATTTTTACACTAGGAAAAAACCCACCTTCTTAAGGACAAATAAATTCATGATTAATGAGCATCATTTCCCTTTTCAGAAAAGATCTAGTCAGTTTTATCACAGTGTCTTCATTGCTTCAACTAGAGATATTCTCTCAAGTTGACAGTCCCCTCCCTCCAGGGTTACTCCATTAGCTTAGAAGTGAAATAAAATTCCCAAAACAAATCAGAAGGGGAGGAGAGAGTTACCAAATGAACAAATAACTTTAAGGAATCAGGCCCCATTACTTCATCTTCAAGAAGAAACTCTTATTCTCTCTCTCTCTCTCTCTCTCTCTTTCTCTCTCTCTCTCTCTCTCTCTCTCTCTCTCTTTCTCTCTCTCCCTCCCTCCCTCCCTCTCCTGCTAGGTAAGTACATCTCACGCTGATTGACTTGTCAGATTTCACATTCTAAGGAAACTCCCCACCACCTACCCCAAATGAAGCTTAACTCCTACACAACCCCCAGATCTGGGCTGGTCTCCAACAGCAGCATTTTCTCTCCTGGCTGGCCAAGAGCTGTAAGATCTGGCAGGAGCTCACACCTCGTCCCCAGCAGGAACTTCCTGCTTTCTCCTCTTCACAGATCGAAGCTGCCCTCAGCTCCTCTCCTGCCCAGGTTCCAAATGTCAGGGCCTGGGTGGTAAGCTACTGGCCAAGTTGCATTTTGTTTTTACAGATAAATGGCATAAAACCTGACTCACTGGCTAAGTCCTCCTGTTTACGACATAGGGATTTAGCTGGTATTTTAACTAATAGCTACGTGTTTGGGCACCCCAAGCCCAGTCTCTTGGGGTTACACCCTTTCTCCTTGTTGGGTCACCTCGTACACCTGTTGTTGTCTCTGAAAACAAACTGAACCAAAAAGGTTTGGGGGTGTTGGCCCCTCTATGAGCCTCTTCTTCTCCTCCCAGGGTGGACCTCCTTCTCCGCCCTTCAGCTCAGCTTTACTGAACTGGCAACACAAGAATGTCTGGATGGTCAAGGAGGAATTATCAAGTCGTTTGGGACCTCTCCAATACCACCCTGGCTCCTCCAGTGGGGCTGTCTGTTGAGTCATGGAGGGGGTGGGGGGACATTCTCCTCTGACCCAAGTCCCATGTCCACCTCTAGGGCAGTTTGACCCATAAAGCACAAACCATCGAGGTATCTTAACCCTGGTCTTTGGGGAAAAGGGCAGAGCTAGGAAAACTTAATCAACATGCTTAGCAGTTATTGTTTTTTCCTTAATAATTGTAGACTACCCCCCTTATAAAAGATTAAATAACTGCATGAGGCCAATTTTGGCTCTGAGTGACTCACAAGTCACCCTTAGGTCAAATTCTGTCCTCAGTGACTGGCACACAGTTTTCAGAGAAGCCTGTGGCAAACTCAACCCACATGGTTCACAATCCCACTGGTGTGGGCACAGAGAGGGCCCTGGAGTAGCGGCAGCTGCATGGTTTTACCATGGCCAGCAGACTTCGGGGGACTTGTGCATCACCCCCTAGGCTGGGAGGCAACATGCCAAGGTAAAAAAGCAAGGAGTTTTGATTGGTACAAAGCCCCAGGGCCCCATTTCTTGAGGCAGTTACTGAACCACCATCACCACCACCCATGGCCCCTGGAAGTCCAACTGACTGAAAGAAAGTTCCTGGGTAACTGAAGATCCTTCTCAAACCCAGAATAGTGTCCTTTGCTAAAAACACAATTGAGGCAGGAGCTAGGTTCTGAAGCTGCCTTTGGATATCCCTGCAGAAGCTCCCAGGGTTCCAGAAGCTACAGGAATTACAATAGCAAGTTCTTCTCTTCTCCCTGTGTGAAACGCTCCCACTAAGGGAGGAGACACTGACCCTTTCTCTTCTCTTTCCTTGCTGCTCTTAACTTGGCCAAGTTCAATCCCCTGATTGTCTTCATGGTGAGAAGGAGACCCACTTGGATTCTGCATTTCTCACAGTTTGTGGACAAGACCCTAGTCAATGGCCCGATCAGTGTTGGGAAGCAAAGAAATGAGGCAGAACTAGGCTCACCATCAATCTAGAAATCAAAACTAGTTGGCAGTCACAGTCCCAAGGGCAAGGAATTAGTCTCAGGATGGGATAGCCCAATGGAAACAGTCAGAGAAGAGGCCTCCTTGGATTTCCTGCCAAACACTGGCTTTATCCTGCTCCCACACTCTCCCTGCACTTGCCGCGGATGGTCCTCTCCAGAGCTCAGCACATCAAATTGACTCTCTTCACAGCTACTACTCACCGGTTTGTTCGGTCTTGACTATGACATTATGTGTGGACTGGAACAGGTCACTGCTGCATTGGCCTGTTAAGAATGGTTTTGGAAAGTCAGAGTGGGCCAAGATGAAGCCAAAATTTGATGCTTAAATAAAGACAGGGCTGGTTTCTTGGAAGAATTTCTGCCCATGCCGCTGCCTGACCACCACTGTTTGTTTATGTTGGGGGGTGGGGGTCCCTTCAGCATCTGCAACTGCAGCAACTGCCAAGAAAATCATTAGGCTAGTACTCCCACATCAGATGGAATTATTTGGAAGTGTGTGGAGATAGCGTCTTATAGGGTAGAAATAGAACTTCAGAAATCAGAAGACTAGTCCTCCACTAAAAACTGCAAGATACTTAACCTTTTGGATCTTGGTTTGCTTATCTGTACATGTAAGGGAATCTAATTAGATAAAGTCATTAAAGAGGTTCTAAGGTGGGCCTCCCCTGGTGGTACAGGTGGGTGAGCGCAGCGCTGTGAAGCTGTCCGTGGCCTCTGCAGGACCGGTTCGATCCCGGCTGGCGAGGGTCCCACATGGCACACAGACCTCTCCTGCCATGCTAGCTGCTCCCCTCAGCAGTGTATTTCATCAGTCTGCCTGTTCTGTTCCCCGCTCTGTCTCTGGTGAATCATCTCACCCTCCTGTGCATCTGGCCTGTACCCCGGTTCTTGTATAAATAAATCAATCTTTAAAAAAAAGAGGTTCTAAGGTGCTTTCTCATACTAAAATATGATGAAAGATGAAAAAGAAATCCTAAGGAAAACTATCTTAATTTAACTGGCTTCATTCTTCTTTGATGCTAAATTTAATCAAACCCATCTTGATCAGATCCAGTCTATGAGAGATGTCTTCATAAATCAGCAGTCTTCCCTTATTTATGCCTTGCAACTCCTTTCTAGATGTATCCTAAGTAGAGGCACACATATATATTTAAATGAGCTTAGCATGTTCTTCCTCCCCAGATTATGAATATCTCAGGAGCAGACCTCTCTTGACTTTCAGTTTTCCCATCTGTAAGATGGGTACAATATTTATTTTCTTGTAAGGTCATTAAATGAATCAATTCATTTAGCGTGCTTAGTGTAAGTAAGTTCATAAATGTAAATTAATGGAATAGCTACCCAAGAAAGGCAAACAACAAAATAAAGGTGGGAAACCTGGTCATTAGGTGCTGAAGCAACAGCAGCATGCACTGGGGCCAAACAAGTCATGGAAGGTCAAAGATGGTCACAGCACCTCCCAAGCCTCCCAACCTCAGGCTTCAATCAGAGCAAAGCTTTAAAGGAGTGGATTTAATTGGAGGTGGGGATGCAAATATTTTTAATTCTTCAAGTGTAAGTCTGCTCTTTCTGAAGATTCCTGGGGTTATTTATAGAGCCTTGTTTGGTTTGGTTCTAGTAAAAGAAAAATGAGCAACCACCTCTGTGGGAAGAAGGAAGTGCCAGGACCTGAATGAGGTCATCCAAAATGGCTGCCACAGCTGCCAGCTCCAGCCAGAGTGGATCCTCCTCAGTGTTGATAGCCCCTCTCAGGGTCTGAATCTGGTTCACAGCCTTGGAATGCCTATTCCCAAAGACCCAGCCACTTGCCCAAACAGTTCTGCTAACATAGACAAACCTGGCATGATGTGGACAAGACAACTCTCCTTTATCCTGCTACGTCTTACAAGCCAGCATAGGATGTGTGCATGTGTGAATAAATGGTCACCAATGGACAGTGTTTGGTACAGTGGCTGGTATGTTAGGTGAGGCCCCAATACATTTAGGGTTCTGGGACAGCACCAATTCCACCAGTTCCAAAATCATTGCAGAAACACCCATGTATCCAGACCACTAGGTATAGCCCCATTTGGGGGTTACAGAACTTTAAAGAATCTGCTATGAGCCTTCTCCCTCCAAACACTCACATGGACCAAATTTTGCAAATATTCTAGAACCTAGGTCTAGAAGTTAAAAAAAAAAAAAAAAGCTATGATGATTTTAACAAACATTTGCAAGGGAATGAAGAGTTTCTGAGAGTAGTGAGTATTCTGTGACTACCCAGCTAGCCCCTTGTCTGCTTGGACATTAACCACGAGGAGGGAATTAAGTTACAATGGTGTTCATAAGCAATTAGACACACCTCACACCCTTGGCTTATTCACGCCTTTTCTCTCACGTCCCTTATACTTCCCTCTCTAAGGAAATATATAATTTGGGGGGTATCCAACTTTTGTCATCCCTGACAAGGAACCCTACTGGCTGCTTAGTCTCCCCTCTTCCTGGCCAGCTCCTCAGTGGGTAAGGAGAAAGATAGTCACCGTTCCACTTGAGATGCTGCAAGTTGCTGTAGAGGACTTGGCCTGCGGTCCCCGCCGCCCTGGTGAACTCCTGCAAGTTCATGCTGCAAAGGTGCTCGCCATTGATGTCAAACTCCTGGAAAGGTATGCAGCTGGCATCCAGCTGGTTGGTGTCCAGGAGGTGCTGGAGCCATTCCCACACCTGGTACTTGGTCCAGTACTGAGGATGGATTTCATGCCACTGGCTTCCGAAAAACCCACTGGAAACTGTAAAACAGGAGGCAGTCCTGTGAGTGAAGTGTGGTTGTTTCTGGGCAGAGGATGCTCACTGGCTGCCAGATGTCATGGGAAACATGACCACAGTCCCCGGGCATCAGTGTGGGGGCTGGAGCATGAGCTGGCCTCTGGAAAGGAGATGCTCAGAAATGTGGTTCTTTTCCCATCATGGTGGGGGGGAGGGATCAATTTTTTAGCCTCTGTGCATCTTCATGGCCTCCATGGTTTTTAATCCTGAGTGCTGGGTGAGGACAGGAGACCTGAAATGTTCCATACTCATGAGCTCACTCCCCTCTTCCCAAGAATACCGTGAGAGAGCAAGATCGCTAGAAGTTTCAGCAATTTACAAGCTTATTGTCCATACCCAAATAGTTCTCTCTCTCTTCTCTCTCCTCTCTCTCTCTCTCTCTCTCTCACACACACACACACACACACACACACATACACACACACGCACGCACACACACAATTTAAAGTTTTAAACCAAAAATGAATCTAGAAATCATACATAATTGTCAGTCCCTTTTACTTCTCTATCTCAGCAAATAGTAATTTTGGGGGTATCCAACCTTTTGTCATCCCTGGCAAGGAACTCTGCTAACTCTCCCCTCTTCCTAGCCAGCTCTTAGGGGAGTAGGGAGAGAGTCACTGTTCCACTGAAAAATTAAGTTTCTTTTCCCTATTATGTCTTGGCTTCTCCTCAAAGTAGCCAGATTATCCATTTGCTAACTGTGCTGATATACCCCTGCTGCACATTGGTTTCTACCGTCATGCTATTTCCTACCGTTACCTCCAGTAACCCCCACTGAACTGGATAAAAAAATAAAATAAAACCTACCAAGCTATGCATTGAGCTATTTGTTCAGTGACCCTTGATTTTTTTACCCTTGTTCTATATGGTATTCTTTCAGTTTCTATTTCACCCACTCACTCCCTGAAGTCCTACCCATCTCGTAGACTCTGCACCCCATAAAGCCATCACAGACTCCCCAACCTACAGTGAGGACTCCTAAATGTTCAGGTGATAAGCTTGGTCTTCTTCCTAATGGCTTTTGTCATGCTCTGTTTTTCCTGATAGATCTCTAAGTAACATCTTTTTTTAATTTTTCTTTTTATGTATATATTTTTTACATAATTGTTCATTTTTAAATAATGTTTGCTTCTCCCCACCCCTCAGGTGTAGTCCCCACAGAATTTCCTTCACCAATGCACCCATGCACCATCACCATCTAAGTAACATCTTATTCTCCCGTATACATTGTCTGCCCATGGTCATGGATTCTGTCTTACTCATCTTTGGATTGCCTATAAAAACTCCCTGAGAGACCTTGCCATCTTAGGTGATCTTTACATATTTATTTAGTAGAAGTTGTTGTTAAAAGAGAAATAATGTAGGAATCTGGCAGAGTTGTGAGATACGTTCACGAGAGGGTTCATTAAAGTACTAGTGAAGAAGCGAAGTTCCTTCAAATTAATGAATATTACTGAACTTAGTATGGGCTAACCATCTATGCATGTGACTCTCTTGTGCTCATTTAAGGAAACCTCACAAAGTCAGCCCAAAGACCTGAGGGGATGGAAAAGAGAGAGCAAGTAACAGGGCTGGAAGCTCATAAGTGCCCTTGAAAACAAAAATCAAGAGATGAGCAATCTTCCAGGAAAGGAAAGGGATGGGGATAAGGGAGAGACGCTTTTGCCATCCACCAAGGTCAAGGAAGTGAAATCCGATTGAATATGACACACAGATACACCCACAGACTCAAGGGTGGATCAGCAGAGGAGAAGGTAGTGCAAGAACACAGCCCCTAACTTTTTCTTCAAGGTCACACTGGATCAGTACTACTCAAACTCTGAGGTGATTGTGAATCACCAGGGAATGTTGTTCAAATGCAGATTCTGATTCCCTAAATCTGACAGTGAGGCCTGAGTTTCTGCATTCCTGACAAGCTTCCACATGGTGATTTTGTGCCAGGTCAGTGGATACAATTTCAGTGGCAAGGAGCCAAAAAGTTCCAAAAGGTTGGATTTCCACAACTCTCATGGACTAGCCCTCCACACCCTCAGAGATGTTGAAGGGGGGAATGTTTCGCCCAATTCCACTTTTATTTGTACCACACGCCCCCCACCACGCCCCACACACACATACACTATCCATTGCTTCCAGACCTCAGAAGCACTAGAAGCAGGAGGTCAAGATCATGTAGGGTGGTGACTGCCTGTGTAGTAACTGCCACTCACAGTATGTGCTTGACCCTCATGCCTCATGGCCAGACTTAAGCCAGATACTAGGAAGGCTAGCAAGGCTTAGAAAAATCTAGTTCAAAAATTTAATTACCTAGAAATATTCCAATATACAAGTACACAGAACTTAGACTAGAGGATTCCATTCCCCCCAATTTTTTAGTTTTTATGGATGGGATATATTTTATGTAACTCCCCAATCTTCAATTTTTTTCCTAAAGTAATCATGTTGCAATGACAGTTCAACCCTGGGTTTGCAAATAAGAAGCAACAACTCTAAATAATCCAATGCTAGGCCTGGAATAATCTCTTATCTCAACTGTATATGACCTGGGTTAAAGGATAGTTCCTCATGGTGCTGTCTCTTAGGCCTTGGGAGAACCAGAGACTTTTTTCTGAAGTTGACTTGGGAATTCTCCCCACAGGCCAGGCAACTGGTCAGAAGTCCCAGGAGAAATACTGGAAGTGGCCTCCAGCACCCCATTGATCATGACCAGGAGCTTTGGGGCCTCTGGAAGGAGAAGTGGCCCCTAAATTAATGTTGCCTTAATCAGGGGCCTAAGGGCCTGGAGATGGCAAAGTCTTTCATTTGGAAGAAACTTCCTGCCTTATTTGGAATCCTCCTTTGAAGTCCCCATAGGGGAACCAAGGCCTACAACAGAATATGTCACTTCCTAGAAAGGGTGGCAGTTTGATGGGATGGGTGATCAAATAAGGGACAGTCACCTGCTCACACTTTCAACCATGCTTTTGGCTGGTTCGAATTTGGTTCCAAATCAAAAGAGGCAGAGAGGCACAAGGATCAGCTGCTTGTTGGGGAGTATAACCCAGCCATCATCTACCTACTCCTGCTTCTGCCTGTTCTCACAATAAGGCCATGTCCTCTTTTCAGGGAAAGTAAGAGCAAGAGTCTCTTGTGAGATGATGGGCAGCAGGCATGAGGTGGGGAAGGCCCCACTTCTTAAGCCCACTGCAGCTTCAACGCAGCAGTCTGCCTGATCCCAGTGGGGTGTGGGGCCCTGATTCAGCAACAACTTTATTCAGTTCAGCTTCTACAGTAAGCCATGCGCTTGATCACCAAACCCTTTATAAGCCCCAAAGCTAGGCCCTCCCACTTCTAATCAATAGATTCTAGATTACTGCACCTGATCTCATAATTAGGTTGCCACCTAGTTATAGGAAGGCATCTGGTCCCCTAACAAATCTCCTCTCCCCTTACAGAGGGAGTCACTGGAAAATGAAATAGAACAATTAAGTTGCTATAACCCTCACCTTGTCATCTTCCATTCTTCCATGCTAGACACACACACACACCTTTATCTCCTGTCTTGATTTCCCATTCAAGCACTGCTGAAAGTTTCAACAGGTGGCCTTCCCTTTGCCCATCTCACCACCATTCTTTCCACCAGGCTGCCAACTCAGAATTCTGACTATTGGGATGACACAATGAAGCATCTCAAATGGGTGTCTGGAGTCCTAGGACTTAGAGAGAATTCTAGCACAAAGAGCCTTCTCCCTTCCCCTGCCCAATAAAATCTGTGTTTTTCCATTCTTAAATTGGTTGGTGAGGCCTAATTAAAGTCAAGGGTGAACCCCCTGGGGAGTGACACCAACACCCACTGGGTCCTTACCGGTGCATGTGGCATAGCTGTCTGTCCAGGCTGGCTGCTGGTGGAGGAGGTTGTTGCTGGGGTTGAGATTCATTACACCGCCGCTTTCCAGAATCATGATCTGCAGGGGGATCAAACAGCCAATTCAGTCAGTGCTTCTGGGCAAATGTCACTGGAGAATGGAGATGATTGAGTTAACTTAGCAAGCAAAAAAAATTTGTCCTTCCAACCATTGCCCCAAAACATGTTGCCACAGCCCTTACAGTAAAAGTAAAACTCACTGGCAATTAACAATTTCCAGGTTCAATTTTCATATGTATGAGGCAAGTTTTTACAGTCACCCATTCATAAATGAATAATCTCTGATCGGGAATGAAGCGGGAAGAAAATGCAATACCTGCTCCCAGGGCGAGTCTGGCCAACATCCAAGTTTCATTATTATTTTTCTTTTCTTTTCTTTCCCTTTTTTTTTTCTTTTTACAGACATTAAAATGCCTACAATCTTTTGCATCAATGAAAATGCTAACCTGTGGGAGCACAGACCCACACCTTTCTGAGAACCCTAACCTGAAATCAGGTGCCCAGGGGTCCCAGCACACCCACCTCGGCAGCCCCGCACCCAGCACCCGGCAAGTTTCCTCAGCAAAGGGAGCTGCCATGCACGGGCTGGTCTCAGAGGGCCACCGCCATGTGTAAGCAGAGCTCCATGATAATAAGAATCAACTGGTTTCTCAGACAGGACTCTGTCCCTTCCCTTCCTCCATGGTAAGAATCATGACTGGCTTTCCCTTCCCCTTGAGACATCTGGAAGCTTCGAAGTTGACCTCAAGGGGACTTTGTCAATCTGAGAACCCATTTTCCCAGTAAAGTACCCAGGAGCAGAGCCTCTCTTCCATGGGCCTGTTTGGATTTTTGAAATAATGCAAACAATTTACCCCTTAGAAATATTCTCTTCAGCCCTCCAGTGCCTGCAGTGTTCTCGCTGGGTAGCCTCCACCTCTCGGACTGCAGCCCCAGAATGGTGCTCAGTCATTCCAAAGAAAAGTAACTTGTTTCCAGAAAGCAACTGAATATTTACCCAGGGTCTCCAAAGGTAAGTTGCTCTTTCTAAAATGTGGGGGGTGGGGAGAGGAGGCTAGTTTCATTGCAGCAGATCGTGGAAAAGTTTTCTACCTGTTTTGGGGAAATCTTGCATCCCTGAGTGTCCCCCTTTATCCACAAGTTTGAAACTGCTCCCCCAGAGCAGTTGCAGCCCTCAGTACCCCTTCCTCTAACTTAGCTACTGGTCCTTTGATTCTGTGCGGGGCCTGAGAGGTGAGACAAAGGGTCTGGGAAAGGCATGAAAATGTACTCATGTCTTCACTGATTCAACACATTTTTCAGCCCTCTGATAGGTGGGGCACTGTGCTAGATCCCCGGGATAGAGCAGTGATTATGAGTTGAACCGGGCTAGACAGGAGCATTTATAATGATAATTAACACCATCGTAGTTACTTGGCAAATCATCAGGACTGAATCCAGCCTAAGTGGAAGACAGAAAAGGGACGATAGGGTGGGGATGATGAGCATTGCACAGTGAGGGATCACAGGGTGGGGAGATGGGAGATTCAGATTCTATACGGTGGAATCAGTTTCAAAGCTAAAAAGAGCTGAGGATGATTCCAGGCGCTACCACTCACTAAGGTGAGTCCTAACTGATAAGTCATTAACCTCTCTGAATCTCAAGTTTTCTCATATGCAAATACAGATCATCTAACCTACTGTGTGCTGGCTGGAGATTGAGTTTCTCTACCTCCAGCGCTTGGCACAAAGCAGGGTGTGACTACATGGCAGATGTTACAATAAGGAGGGTCACTACCTCTGGAAAACTTGAACCACAACAACCATGGGCCTCAGTTTCTCCATGCACAAATTTAAAGAAGGTGACTACATTCCTTTCCAGAAACTTCCTTGAGTCTCACCCTCAGAGAAGGACAACCAACGCAAGTCAGACCTTTCTTTTTTCATAATCACTAGGTTTTTATCCCATTCAGCTTTCTAGAGCAATTGCCCTAAGTTAGAAAATCAGATGGGGGACTTCAAGGCAGAAGAAAACCTCAAGACTGGGGGAGGGAGGGGGCCATGGCCCCATCTCCTGTTTGCTCAAGGCTGGGCATGTTCCTCCCAATTTGCTCAACCACAAGCGGTAGAAAGGTTACTGTTTAACCCTGAGAGGGCTGAAGCTCAGAGCCCAGCCCTTCTGCTTGGCGGGATTAGCCTTCCAGGCTGGGAGGGTAATGGGGGGGAGGAGGGAGTTGCAGGGGTGCTGGGGTGGTTGGAGGGAAAGGTTTCCCTGAAATCCTGAAATTCTTTCACAAGGATCTGCCTGCAGGGCTACCTCTTCTGCTGGTGCAGGGCTTCTGCTTATCTCTTCCCCAAAGCCAGAAGGCAGAGTGGGGTGAGGTTTTGGGATCAAGGAAATGTGAACTCAGATCCCAGTTCCCTGCTTGCTATGCATGACCTAGAGCAAGTTCCAAGTCTGGTGGGCCAACAACTCTCTGCTCTGCACTTTCCCCACCTGCACAGTGAGATGCACCCCAAACTCAAAGGGCCATGAGGATCAAATGAGCTCGTATACACAATGTTTAGCAGGTAATGAGAAAGAAGTCAGTGAGTGTCACAGAACAGTGAGGGCGTCTTCCCTGCTGGCGACCCCTGCCCACAGGCCCTTTGCTCCGGGCACACAGCAGTTCTCATCACCACCCTCTGGATTCATCCAGAGCTACTCCAGCCCACAGAGAAGCCACTACCAGGTTTGCAGGTACCCCATGGCCCCCTGGCTCCCAAGAGGCTGGCCCGCCTCCGTCCAGAAGCTGCTCCCTGCTGGCTCCCCCTTTCCTAGGGAAAGCAGCCAGCATGGTGAGGGGCCCATTTTTTACAGGGCACAGTAAATGGTTACTACTCATAAAAGAGTTTATGTGGCTTAACCCTTAGTGAGTCAGAGTTCACTTGAGCTCACCCAGGCTTGTGAGGAAAGATCAGTGTCTCTGACCCAGCAAGAGGCTGCAGGGATAGGGCCCTCAGGGTGGGCACAGCAGGCCCAGGGCCCTGGTTGGGGTAGCTGAAGGTCTTCCAGCAAATCCTAGCCCCCTCTGTGGCCCAGTTAGCTCTCTGGGTATAGAAGGGGGACATTTGTCCCCCAGCAGGACTGTTGAGGAGATCAAATAAGATAATGGATAATAAAAGTGCCTTGAGAAATGTTAACAACAACAAAAAAAGGATTATTATAACCAACTCACCCACACCCCCATATATGAATACAGACTTTCTATGGTATATAGTTACTACTTTATTGGGTATAAAAAGTAATCCTTTTAATTACAAAGTAGGGAGATGATTTAGTGTTCTTCTTTAAGCTTCTGACTTCACCTTTAGCGTGGTTTTTACTATTTCCTTTGAAACAAAAAAAGGTACTATCAAAAATGTGAAGTAGAGACTCAGAGGTCTGGGTTAGAATCCAGACTCCAACTTTGAGCCATGTGACCTTGAATGTTTACCTTTCCCAGCTCCACTTCTTCGCTTGTGTCAGAGGGGCTGTGGAGGGACATGGTTGTCCTTGAAGCCTAAGACTATTTTGAAGGATAAATATTAAAATGGGTTTTAGGTGTCTGGTCTAGATATGCATTCAGGTCCTCAATAAAAATCAATTTCCTTCTCTTTCTTCAAATATTCATTCTCAAGGTGTTACTCAGAGACTTTCTTCCAGAAGTGGAAAAAGTAAACTCAGAGCCAAAGTTAAAATGACTCCACCCTTTGGATCAAAAGCAAACATGGTAAAGAACCTGCCTCTGTCCATCTCTAGTGGCAGGGGGAGCCCTGGGGGTGACCCCCTCAGTCATCTGTGCTAAGTGGAAAGCAGAGTTTCTCAACCTCTGCATGAGTGACATTTTGGCCTGGGATGGTTCTTTGTTTGGGTGGGGGGGGGTCTGTCTGTGCATTTGTAAGACATTTGGCAGCATCCAAACCCCATTAGTTGCTAGCAGCTATCCCTCCCGTGCACCATCCCTTGGGACCAAATCACCCCCAGCTGAGAACTCTGGTTAAGTACAAAACCCATGGAGGCAACAACTCAGACGTGGCTCTTGCTGGTGTGGCAGCCTGGGCTGTTCCTTAGACTTCCTCGGCTTTATTTCCTCTCCTGGGAAGCAGGTGTGGAATAAGCACCTACCACCTAGGCCAACCTGAGGATTCAATGAGATAAGGGACTTTGAAGCCCCCGGCATAGTGCCTGACACAGAGTAGTTGCCTCATAAACGGAGATTTAAGATAATGTGCTGGGCCCACCCTTGTCTATTCCCAGGTGGTGAGTGTTCTGAGAAGACAGCATAAAATTGTCCTTGGGCTAGTGAAAACTACACATACACACAATCCTGTAAATTGTATTTTAAAGTGACATGAAATGTTGGATCATCCAGTGATTTTTTTATATACATTCTCTTATTGCTTCCTTCATGTGTGGGAACAATGGGAGGGACCTGTATTTTACTCTGGGCCCTCAATGACTGTTCTGACTTTCACTTTCACCCAAGACATCCCTCTCTACACAGCTTCTTAGACAGTCAGTCTTGCAGACAAAAGTCTGCTCTTTACTTGGAGGGGAGGAGCTACATCTGCTGTCATCCACTGCCAGCCAGACAAGTGAACACCTCAGCCAGGCTTCCCGACAAGGCCCATTTGACCTTGAGCCATAGTTCCCCTGAGAATGATGGGCCACTAGGGTCTGGCCCACTTAAACCCCATTTTTGGAGAAAGGAAGCACTGGGCTGTGCTGGAGTGGCTACAGATGGCATGGGGGCCAGAGAGACAGGCCACCCTCTGCTCCCCACACTGTTAACAGCTTCAGGTTCAACACAAACCCCCAGCACTCTCCATTGCTAAACACTTGGACCACTTCTCACCACCCACACATAGAGTTGACCCCCAGCCTTGTGCCCAGTCTTCCTCCAGGCCTTCATGAAAGATTAGCTCCCCTTCCAGCATCAGCTCTGCCTAAAGTAGGAGGGAGACAGGAAGAGTCCTGCCTGGGAGGGAAGGCCAGGGCACTAGGCCTGACTCTAGAGTTTGAGTCTCAGCTCTCCACCC